CACTGGAAGTAAATTGGAGGCCTTACTGGACTTACAAAGAATCAAAGAAAAATAAGGCATGCAAATGTAAACATTTAATGAAACTGAAAAAGAGTTAATACCACAGATAAAATCAATGCTCTAAGAAAAAAAAAAAAGATGGAAGAAAAACAGAACAGAGCAAGTATCAAAGAAACTTAAAAAGAAAAGAGGAAAAATTGATGAGAAGCTTCTCTCCTAATCCAATCAAGGAGAGAAGTTTCAGAATATAAAAAATAACACATAGAAATGATGAGTAGGAAAATAACAGAAAACTTTACTGAACAAAGGAAAGGTTTGAGTCTTCAAGCTGAAATGGCTCTCCGGAGTCCAAGATAGAAATAATGAAAAAAAAAAAAAAAAAAAAACATACCAAAAATATCCTGGGGGAAAAAAAAAACAAACCTGAATTTTTCAATACCCACTGCTAAACTGTTTATATACACGTGATAGCACAAAATAATCAGAGACGGCTTTTATAAACATTCTGTACCAATAATCACTATGTAAAACTAGAAGCCAAGTATCTAGCAAAGTGTACAAATGATTTTTGTTTTGCCTATCACACTATTATTATTATTATTTTTATTATTATTTTTTTGGAGACGTTTTTGCTGTACAGTGCATGTGCTCACCAGAAAGACAGAGAGAGACAGAAAGTGAGAAATCACCCCCAGGGGGGATGGACACTCTGCAATCCCTTCTCCTTCATTATCCTCTCCGGATCTTGGGCATGCATGCACATGTGGCCGGTGTGAGTTTAAGCCACCAGGTCCGAGACTCAAACCACGGTCAACTACATGGGAGTCCAGTGACAGAGCCATTACACTAACTGCTGATCCCCACACTACTATTATTTTTTTAAGAGTTTTTTTTGTTTTAGGAACCAGCAGTTAGCGTAATGGCTCTGTCGCTGGACTCCCACGTAGTCGACCGCGGTTCGCGTCCTGGACCCGGTGGCTTAAAACTCACGCCAGGCGTGTGTGCGTGCATGCCCAAGATCCCGAGAGGAGAATGGAGGAGAAGGGATTGCAGTGTGACCATCGCCCATGGGGGATGATTTCTCTCTTTCTGTCTCTATGTCTCTCTCTGTCTGTCTGGTGAGCAAACGTGCCCTATAGCGAAAACTTCTCAAAAAAAAAAAAAAAAAGTTTTTTTGTTTTGTTTTGTTTGTTTGTAATTTTGTCTTTGGCTGCATGTGTTTGCTGGAGAGAAAAAGAGACAAAGATACTGAGAGGAAATGTGAGAAATCACCCCCCAGGGGCGTTGGCCATGCTGTAATCCCCTGTCCATTCTTCTCCTGGATTCTTGGGCACACAGGCACATGTGTGTAGCATGATTTTCAAGCCACCAGATCCAGGACTCAAACTCCGGTCAACCATGTGGGTGTCAGTGATGTAACCACCACACCATCTGCTGACCCCTACATTCACTCTTAAGTGATACCATTTGGTGTACAGGACTAGAGTGACAGATATATCAAATTGTAATGTTAATGCCTACTACTAGCTAACACATAGATAAAAACATATTTGTCCTCTGTAACACACTCTGTACTACTAGAGTTCAAAAAATATAGGATACTATTCACAGTTCAAAAACTAAAAACTCTATACAGTATAACTGTTCAACTTATTCATAAGATCATCATTCTATCTTCACATAAAACAGGTATCTTAAATATAACACATTATGGCTTTTTCAAATTGGAAACTAAAATACTGAATGTATGCATGTTCCTTTCATCAGATTATATCAAGTAATTCATAAAAATGAAGTCATGGAAATTAGTCAAAATAAGTAACTTAAAGCTATCAAAAAGAGAAAAAAGATTTCATCTTAGTGAATTTTATACCAAAATTTACCTGAAACTGTAGCATTTCCAGACGTCTGTCAGTGAATTCGAAAAGAGCTAACGTTGTTTTCATCATATATAGTGAATTGACCATGAAAGTGGCCATGTCAGCTGTGCCTAAATTGCTGGCTGATACGGTACACATCTGAAGGAGAGGATCGAAGACACACGATAAAACCTGTAAGTGAAAAAATAAATCAGTGACATGGGCCTAGGCAAACAGCACTTCACTTATTCACTGCTTATATTAATGCCAAACTAACTGGAAGAGAGTCAACTTACAGAAACATATAGGAAAAGGATTAAAAGAAATGATAACTATATATATGGTTTGGAAAATGGGCATCACTGAATGAGTATTTTTTAAATTGGACAGAATTAATTTCTAATTTGAAGGAAAATCAATAAGAAGGAAATCACCCAAATGTTAGGTTACAAAATGTGCAATAAAGGGGAGAAAAGTAATCTCTAAAATTAAATTGACCACATACCTGCACAAAATCAGCTTGACGGGCGTCTAATGGCACGACTGAAGAATCATGAGATGCCAAAACTTCACGCAGCAACATGAGTGTCTGGTTTAGTGCAGAACTTGGTCCCAGATCAGGAGGTGGGAGTTCAACCTGAAATAAAAAATGGCTTATCCACTGCTTCCATCTTTTTCCATTGGATTTAATGTATAAATGCCAGTTCCCAGTAAATCAAGCATATAAAAGATACAATGTAATGTCTCACATAGTTATAAATCTATAATTTATCAAAACCTTATTTTGAATTATACTAACCAGCAAAGAAAGTAAAAGGAAAGTTTTTTTGTCATATTATCTAGAATTCATGTCACTTCATTCTCTAAAGTTCAAAAATTATTGAGAAAAGTTAATATTCATTGGAATTATGGAATTATATTTTGATTTAACATTAGGCTATACTATCTAGGTTTATATAACTACAGTCTATGATATTTATACAATAACAAATTCACTTGATGCATTTCTTAGATTGTATTCCTGTTGTGATATGACACATAATTGTTAAGTTCAAATCTTAGATTTATTCTTAACAGTGTTATAGGAAAGTTAAAGGAATCTTCAAAAATTTAATGGAAAATGCATATTATGAAAAAATTATGGGTGTCCAAAACTTTCTGCACCAAAATAAACTAGTATTTTAACTCTATTTTTCCATAAACTTTCCCTCATATATCTAACTTTTTAGAGTTTCAGAAAGATTTTGTTAAGATTAAGTCTTGTAGAAAGAAAAGCACAACATTAAAAAATTATGTGTAAGAGTTTATGCATAAGTAACATCAGCATTTTTAGCAGGAAGGATGTCTGAAAATCCTTTCTCTTTCAAAAAAACAAGAAGAAAATATTTATGAAACATGCACACACACAATAAAATCTAGTCCATGCAGAGGAAAAAGTCAATAGAAACTTCCTCTGAGGAAGACCAGGCACTGGACTTACTAGACAAAAATGTTATTGGAAATATGTTCAAACCCTGAAGTAAATCATGCCTGAAAGAACTAAAAGAAAATATGAATAAAATATCAATCAATTAGAGAATATGAATAAAAATAAATGACAAAGCATAACCAAGTAGAAATTCTGAAATTAAAAAAGCACAATAACTAAAATGAAAAGTTCAATATAGGGAACTAACAGCAGAAAAAAGAAGACAAGAAAATTAACAGAGAACTGTGGGACGCCAATGACAACATCAATATAATAAGGATCCCAGAAAAAAATAAAAAGGATATAATGGATCATTGGAAAAGTCATGACTTTTCCAAATACCCAGTAGAAATAGGCAAAACATATATTTGAAAAAATATTGGCAGGAAACTTCCAAAACTTGATGAAGACAGTAATCTGAACATCCAAAAAGCTAACCAAACTCCAAGCAGGATAAACTAAGAATACTGAGATATAGCAGCAGCATCCAGTCAAAAGACAAGGAGATAATTCAAACAAGGGATTCTTGATAAGACTAACAGCTGATTTCTCATCAGAAACCATGGAGGCTAGGAGACTATATGACATATTGAAGAGAGGAAAGAAATAGACTGCCACATGAGAATTTTGTATTCAGCAAAATTACTCTCTAAGAGTGAAGGAGAAATTAAGAGATTCTCAAATAAACAAAACCAAAATTCTTCACTAGACCTGCCTTATAAGAAAAAAAAAAAGAGAATCAAATACTAGATACTAATTTGATGCACATGAATAAAGAACATTAGTAAAGGTTCCAATAAAGGTGAACATAAAATGCAGTTTTTTCATATACTTTTTGTAACTCCTTTTTTTCCCCTGATTTAAAAGACAATTTCATGAAGCAATAAGTATAAATCTATACTTATGTACATAAAATACAGAAAGATGACATCTACGACAATAACAGCATATAGTAAGAGGAGAATGGAGGTATAGAGAAGCAAGGTTTTATATACTATTGAAAGTAAGTTGGTATTAATCATAACTAGATTGTTAAAAATTAAGATGCAATTAAATTCCTAGAGCATCACTAAGAAAATATAACTTACCCCCCCCACACAAACATACATTTAAATAAATATGAAAATTAAAATAGCATACTAGAAAATATTTGTTCAATGTAAAAGAAGTACTGGAGAAACAGGTGAATAAAAAAATATTTAAAACACACAGTCAACAGAGAAATGCAGAAACAGTTCTTATTCTATCCACAATTAAATTAAATGTAAATGCCAATCAAAGTGCAGAGCCTGGCAGATGAATTTTAAAAAACAATAATAAGTGACCCAACTATTGGGTCACTGGAAAATGACAAAGTTTTTTTATGTTTTCATATGCAAAAATGCCTCATAACTTTTCTGATGACCTAGTATGTGCTATCTTCAAGAGAAATACTTTAGATTTAAAGGCACAAATAGATTAAAGGTAAAAGGATAGAAAAAGAGTATATCTTGCAAACAATAACCAAATGAGAGTTAAAGTAGATATACTCATATAAGAAAAAATAGATTTTAAGGCAAAAACTATTATTAGAAACAAAGAAGGAAAGGTTATGAACTTCATGTAAAACAATAATCACATTATAGAAACTTCTGTCTTTAGTTGTGTAGCAAATTCCAATTTATTCACACTTCACTTCTTCAGAAATCAGTCAGCACCAGCAAGTGAGTGGCATATGCACCTGCAGAGTGATGCAACTGGGAGAAAGAAGTGTTAAATATTATCAGTGCTGTGTAGTCAGGACTTGAGCTATTGGTGGAAGTCTTACATACGGATAGAAAAAAGATGAAGAAAACTTAAAACTTTTGCTCTACAAAGATTTCCCTCATTTTTATTCTGCTGTTTGACATTTTTTCCCTTTATTTCGGTCATGATCTCAAATACTCAGAAATCTTAATTAGAGATGTAACCTCAAATTGGCCACACATGACACAGTGGTGGGTATCTAAATCTAGAGCATGCAAGTACTTCTTTAGGCAGGTAACTCTGTTGTAATTATGACCATACTTTACTCCAGAATTCTCTATCACAAAATGTGCACCACTAATGCCCAGCAGGTTAATATCAATGGATGGATACAAATCACTGCTCATATTCAAGCACATTACCCTAGGGATCATGGGTAAACATTTTTGTGTTTTTTGTTTGGTTTTTGGAGAGGTTTTTGCTTTAGGGCATGTGCACTCGCCAGAAAACAGAGAGACAGAAAGCGAGAAATAACCCCCCAGGGGGGATGGCCAACACTGCAATCCCTTCTCCTCCATTCTCCTCTCGTGATCTTGGGCACACATGCACACGCACCCAGTGTGAGTTTAAGCCACCGGGTCTGGGACTTGAACCGCGGTTGACTACGTGGGAGTCCAGTGACACAGCATTATGCCAACTGCTGGTCCCTAATTTTCGTTTTAAATCAAAAGGGGAAGGTTGTTAAAATAAGGTATGAGTGTCTACTTCCACTAGATTTCAGGATCCTTATTTCAGGAATATACTTTATTTACCACTTCACCTTTCAGTGTTTTGTATAATGGATATTTAATTAATGAAAAAATGTTGATTCTGGTCACCTACATTTGACTTATGTCTGTACAACAGAATTTAGATAAAAACATACACCTAAAGTTGTACATACAGAGAGTATCTAATAAAATCCTTTTTTTTTTGGTTTGCTATAAAGCACATATGCCCACCAGAAACAGAAAGACAGAGAGAGATTTACATTTTATTTAGAAGATTTTTTTTCTCAGAATACTGGACATATTACTCCTTATTCTTACTGGTTTAATTTATAACAGACTGATTTTCAAATTAGACCTGTACTATTTCTATAGTGAGAAGAATTTTAGAAAACATTTGTTTAGCTTAACTCAATATAGCATGTCTTTTGCAATATACATATTCCTCTTGTTTGCTAGATTTGCGGTTACGAATGTTTCAGGAGAGCTTGATGAGAGGAGTATGCATACTTAAATACTTGAGTGTTTCAAACTGCTTTGTTAGAGGAAAGGTTCACCTTTCAATAAAATGATGTCCTTGAATTTTCATTTTTTTCATATTAAAGAATTAGTTCCCCAAATGTTCTTATAAGCACAAAAGGAATCAGATGAAAAAACTTCTTCTCTGAGTATACCTTTATTTTAAAAGCTATGTTTGTAACAATTTTACTACCCATTTAAAATTCTATTTAACAAAAATTTCCATGTGGGTGCTTTGCTAAGGAAGAACCTTTCTTCAATAAGCATTGTTTCCTTATAAGGCATAAATCTTCCAAGAGGAAGTGAAATGGTTTACGAGAACACGATTAAGATATAAAATATGAAATATTAAAATTTGATAAAAAAAAGATTTAAAAAAAAAGCTTACTTTTTTTAAATGAGACAAACACACTGGTAGGCATATACCCTCGACAGGGTGTCACAATAATGTAATCTCTCCCTCCTAGCCTTTCAGAAATAGAGGATCATGGGCATGCACTCATACTCAATGAGTTTTTATTTGATTTGGGATTCAGATCCCCTAACTAAAAGATGATTTTATTGAAAAAAACCTAAAATGGTTGTAAGAATGCCATTTTAATGGAATGTTAAAATATCCCTAAACATGGTTCATTTCATAATCTGAAAAAAAAAATTTTAGGGTATGATAATAATGACAATAAAAACAATAATAATGACCAAAACCCACTCACTCAGAACTCACACATGCCGCAGTACTGATTACTACTTATTACAGTCAAATTACAATTACCTTCCCTCTTTTACTTTACTCTCTTCAATGTTTTAATTGAAATATCATACTTAAAAGTTAGCTTTTGGACCAGCAGATGATGTAATGGTTACATTGTAATGGCTGGACACTGATGCAGTTGACCACGGTTTGAGTCCCGGACCTGGCAGCTTAAACTCACACTGGGTGCATGTGAGAGCATGTCCAAAATCCTGAGAAAAGAACAGTGGGGAAGGGAATTATGGTGTGGCCATCCTCCCTGGGGGTGATTTCTCACTTTCTCTTCTCTCCAGCGAGCGCAGAAGCCCTATAGCAAAAATCTCTCTCAAATGAAGAAAAAAGAAGTTGCTTTTTATTGGGATCAGCAAGCGGTGTGGTGTGGTGGCTAGGGCGCTAGATTCACACAAAGCCTACCATGGTTTGAGTCCCAGACCCAGAGGCTGAAAAATTATGGCAGGTACATATGCTTGTGTATTTGTGCCCAAAGTCTTGAGAGGAGAATGGAGATGCAGCATGGTTATCCTCCCTCTCACCAGGACGGAGGAATTTGTCAATTTTACTCTCTCTGTCTCTCACCAGCGAGTATGTGCACTCTATAGCAAAAACTTTAAAAACAAACCAAAAAACCCTCAAAGTGAAGGGGGAAATGGAATTGAAGTGGTGAGTTTTATTTTTGTTTCTTTTTGTACAGAACCAAAATTAAATTGTTATCAGTTTTGAATGACTTGCTATAAGATGTTTTATGTAAGCATGATAGTAACTATAAAACCAAAGCCTGTATTAGAACACTAAAATTAAAAGGCAAAGAATGAAAACATATTACTAGAAAAAAATATTTAACCACAAAGGAAGATAGTAATAAGGAAGAAAGGAATAAATAATCTACATAAAAATTATAAATCAAGTAACAAAATGGCAGTTGAAAGCCCTACACATCTATAATCACATGACTGAAAATGGATTGAATTCTACAATTAAAAGACATAGTTGCTGAATGGATTTAAAAGAGAAGAAAATCAACTATATTCTGCCTATAAGAAAATCACCTAAATAGTAAAAACAGACACAGAATTTAAGTGAAGGGATGAAAAAAGAGAGTCCACATGTGAAAATCAAAAACAAGCTGGAATTGTTCTACTTATCTGAGATAAAATGGACTTTTTAAGTCAGAAACTGTAAAAAGGGACAAAGAACATTACAAAATAATAAAGAAATCAATTCAGTAAGAGGACATAACATCTGTAAATATATATGCACCCAATACCAGAGCACCTAAATATATAAAGCAAACAGCAAATATTATTAGAGCCAAAGGGAGAAATAGACTTCAACACAATAGTTGATGAGACTGCAACACCCTACTCTCAGCATTGTACAGATCATCCAGATAGAATACCAACAAAGAAAGATCCGATTTAAACACTGTACAACAAATGGACCTAACAGATATTTACAGAACATTTCATCCAAAGCTGCAGAATACACACTGTTCTCATCAGCACATAGAACATTTTCCAGAGTAGACCATATATTAGACCACAAAACAAGACTCAAAACATTTAGAAAAACAGAAATCATAACAAGTATTTTTTTTATCACAATAAAATAAAACTGGAAATCAATAATAAGAGGAACTTTGGAAAGTATACAAACACATGGAAACTAAACTACATGAACCTGAAAGACTACTAGGTCAATAAAGAAATTAAGAAGAAAATCCAAAAATATTTTGAAACAAATTAAAATGATATATACCAAGATGTATGAAATATAGCTAAAACAGAAGAAGTTTGTGGCAATAAGTGCCAATGTAAAAACATTAGAAAATGTCCAAATAAACAATATAATATGCACTTCAAGAAATTAAAAGAGCAAGAAAAAATAAATTTAGTATAAGAAATAGAGATCAGGACAGAAATAAACAAAATAGAGACTAAAAAAACACAAAAGAAAAAAAATATTAAAAGTTGGTGTTTTGAAAAGATATATAAAGCAAATTAGCTGGATTAAGAAAAACAGAAGCCAGAAACAAAAAGGAGACACTCTGATCATCACAAAAATACAAAAGACCATTAGAGGGGCCAGCAGGTGGCATGATGGTCAAGGCGCTGGACATTCCCACATGGCTGCCACAGTTCAAGTCCCGGACCTGGCGACTTGCTTTCTCACTCTGTCTCTGTCCCTCTCTGGTCAAATTAAAATGAATAAATAAATAAAGTTAAATAAAATAATTATTAAAAAAAAAACCTGAACGGACCAATAACAAGTAATGAGACTGAATCAATATGAAGTCTCCCAACAAAGAAAAGTCCAGGACTAGATGGCTTCACTGCTGAATTCCATCAAAGTTTTAAAGAATACCAATTTTTCTCAAACTATTAAAAAAAGGGGGGGGGGAACGGAGGAACACTTTCAAACTCATTCTAAGGAACAACACAAAACTATGGAACAACTCTGCTGAATATATATGCAAAAATCCTAACCAAAATACCAGCAAACCAAGCCCAACAGCACATCCAAGTTATACACCACAATCAAGTGGAATTTATTCCAGGGATGCAAGGACGATTTACAAATTGAATTGTGTGAATGTACCAGACCAATTCTATTATGTGAGTACTCTAGAAAAGATTGCTACTAACCATTCTTTATTGAATTCAAAAAAAAAAAAAAGGTGTGGCTAATCTAATCAGCCTATTAGAATAGTACAATAAAAAAGCCTGCATGGTGATTGTGATGTATCCTTAAAACACTTGAATCCTTGGGGCCAGCAGATGGCATGGTGACTATGTCACTGGACTCTTTCTTGGCAGACTGCAGTTTTGAGTCCCAGAACTGGTGGAAAATCACACTGGATGTATGTGCGGGTATGTCCAAAGTCCCAGGAGGAGAATGGAGAAAGGATTGTGGCATGGTAATACCCCCAGAGGGTGATTTCTCACTTTCCCTCTCACTATTTCTGTCTCTCTTTCTCATCTATTTCTGTCTGTCTCTCTCGTGAGCACATGCACCATAAGGTTAAAGAAAAACAAAACAAAAACCTTGAATCTTTAATAATGAGACAAAATAAAGAATGATTTAATAACTGTAAAGTCATTCCTTAAGGTTCTGCTACAATAACCTGCTCCATTAAAAATATTAAATCTCACAGGACTCTTTTAGGTTTTGATATTTGTTTTTGTGGGTATTTTCTTATTTGTTTTCAAAAATAATCATAATACCTAACTTGGATAAGCATAAATTCCTTAAGGAAAATCTTGTGACATCAGAGAGTAAAAATATAAACTGTTTGGAAAAAAATCCTTCATAAGAGTCCCAGTTTTCCAATCTGTCATCTTAGTCCCCACCTAAATACAGGAAGTATGATTTAGTGCAGGAAGTATGATTTAGTACAGATGTTTGGTTACAGAAAAATGCTAATGAAACTGGGGCTTGAGGTTCCATCTCCAATTTATAACTCAAGTTATACTGTTTCAGGAACACAGAATTTAAAGTCAATGTCCAGTAAGACATCTTGAAATGAAGGCTGTTGCTTATAGGAAGAATTCAAAAGAAGACTGTATGGAAAGGGGAAAAAAAATCATTAACTGATACTAAAACAACATCTTCAAATATTAAAGATTGACATTAACATACTTTAAGAATTGCATTTTCCAAACATACCTTGTCCATTAATTTACTTGCATGAAGACTCAAACTATTGAAGAATATTTTTTTGCTTAGCAAATGCATTTCTTCAATGGTAGTCAATAATGTAGTTGCGCTATTTCCAACAATGCCACTACAAACAAAGAGTATTTCAGGTTGCTCAACAGAAGATGAAACAATTCATTTCTTTAACTGAGTATAAAGCTTTAAATAGATCTAGATTTAAATAAAATTTTTATGTAAAATAAAACCTAAGAATTAGAAATAATTACTCTAATTTCATTATAAAAATGTCAGGTTTTTTTTTCCTTTTGAGTTAGGTAATAAAAAAAAAAAAACAAGCTACTGTGTTGTCAATATTTCACAATCCTTTTTAGCAAAACTGGATTAGAACATATACATCATACAATAAGGAAGTAAAATGAATAAATATAAATTGAAACTAGTACTTTGATAAAAAATTTGGAGATCAAAACACATTTATATCCACTGGATTAAATTTGGGAGTTATCAGTTGTTTCTTTCAGACACTCGGGTACAGGATTTTCTAATTATTGACTACTCATTAGGTACCAGTAACTAGTCCAGACATTTGCGGATGCTTTTGATATTTTACTCCATATTTCTTCCCACCATGTTCTTATACCTAAAACTTGATTTTTCAATTTTAGGTATTAATTACTAATTCCCCCATCTAAAAAATGAGAATTAAACTCTCCTACATAATATTCTTGGCCCACCAGATAACATTCAAACATCACCTTCCCCAGGCTTCCAAATACAGTTATCATAACAGGTTCTAGTAAATAAATATTAATTTTACATCATTACACTCATGCAAATACTATTCAGAACTGACGTAAGATTAAGTGACATACAACATAAGGGAA